GTCGCTGGCCTCAGTCGCTGGCCTATTCATCGGGACTCACAGTGACGGGGCACTTGCACACCGGACACTCGCCCCAGCGCTCAGTCAGCCACTTCTTGATGCATCCCTGGTGGAACGAGTGGAAGCAAGGGAGGCGCGTTATGATCTGATCAGTTCGGTACTCCTCGAGGCAGATGGTGCATTCCTCGGGCTCGGGCTCGGTCTCCTTCTCCGTGTGGCTGGCCATCCCCTGCTTGGCCCAGGCGCGGGAACGTGAGAGCATATCAGAGTGGTACTGATGCGGCAGCATCTTGAACTGGCGCAATGTGAGCGTGCGCGAAGGCCCCATGTCACAGGTATTTTGACCGGTAACTGCAGACTGCGCCGGCGGGCATGGGGACGGCGTACGCGAGCCGCTAGAGAGGCCCTCGGGATGCTCGTCCTGGTCTGTCGCCTGAATCGGGGCGGGTAAGGTGTCCAACCCGGCTGTCTCTCGCATCTCATGTGGGATGTGGTGCTCGCCACGACCACTGGCCGGGCTGCTTTCTTCGGATGCACCATTGCCGACCACAATGCCATCGGTGGGCGCCTCGCTACCAGCCTCGCCATTGTCTTGCCCCTTGCGCCATTTGGCATAGCCGATTATTCCGATGCAGATCGCAATAAACACACCTATTGATACGCCGATGGCTGTACTCGGGTCACCGCCTTGTGCATGGGCTCCATTAGAACCCGTTGTTGAGGAAGGTTCGGCTGAACTTTCGGCATCCTTGGCTACTGCGGTTGCTAGGTGACTGCGCCCGGTGACACTCTGCGGGCTGCCGCTATTACTATAGAGCGGCCACGCCCCAGCAGCAGAAAGCCAGAGCGCGAGTGTGGCGAGCGACAGACAAGCACCAAGCGTCGGCAGTCGGCGTGAGTGCATAACGGGAGGACGGTGACAATCGGGAGAAGAGTAAGGCCGCAACGCAAAATGCAGGAGAGAGGAAAGGGTGGTTGGACGGAAGTCTGGCTGCAGGCGCACTATACCTGGCGATGACCATCGTGCCTTTGGCTGCCTGCAGCTGTGGTCTGATTTGACACGTCAAACGGACAGCAAACAAGCAGCCCTGCCCTTTGGACTCTGACAGCTAGCGGCTTCGTCTTTGCGCACAAATAGCCTTTGTTGGCGGGCGACGAGCAGAGGGCACGGGTAAGCCGCCCACAGGGACGAGCTTCGCCACTCTGGGCGCTGACTCGGTGCTGTGCGCGTGGAATAGTAGTAGAAAGGCGACATGCCCACCTGGTGACAGCATCATGGATGTGCCTGGTGTGCAGTGGAAAACAGCCCGATGTCCGCGAATACACGCAGTGTTATTGCTGCTTGCCTTCGTTGATAAAACACCACATGTGGCCTGTCGAGAATGTGTGTGTGGTACCAGCGATGAGGGGAGGGTGGACTAAGCCGTGGCACTGTGTGGTGGTGATGGCGGTGTTGTCCACGTTTGTAAGCTTAAACGTCGCCGTTGGACCTGATATCGCCAGAAACTTGGTGGCGACTACCGTGGTGGATACACGCGACTCTGGCCCCATGCTGTGGAGCAGCGGCAGGGCAGCAGCGGACCGTAGAGCAATGTTTGCGCCCGCCTTTGTGGCATAAGGGCTGCCCCCTTTTGGCTACCACACGTAATTTTCGGAAATGAAACTTGTAGGCATGTCGCCAATCAACTGGTTCTATGGTGTAGCGGTTATCACTCCGGGTTTTGATTCCGGCAACCCGAGTTCGAACCTCGGTAGGACCTCAAATTTTTTTGCTGTTCCCCCGCCATTGGGATGAGCCACGTGTTGTGGGGGAGGGGCGGCTAGTGCGCTTCTTTTGCTGCTCGTGGCGGTGCCCAGCGGCGGACGAAGCAGAGGAGCTGCGGCACGTGGACCTCTATTGGCAATACTTGCATTCCTCGAGGGGGCGGCAGCGGGGAAGGCCACCAGCGGAACAGGGGCCGACAAGCAGGCTGCCTTCCTGTGCACATCTCTTTCTCACTGCGATTGTACGTGCACGACAGCTCATTTAATACTAGGATAGAAGGAGAGCACCTTGCGGCATCAGATATGAAGTCCGCGGCAGTATTGGCGATATGCGTGCTTGGCGGGCTTGGTGTTTTGCATGGCGAGTGCGGAAAGTCGGCTAGCGAGGATCCCGAGGATGCAGTAATAGGAGGCCTGCTTGGTGTACGACCAGATCTCGCAGAAATGCTCGAGCCAAGTGGAAGTGGCGGCGGCGGTAGCAACAGCAACAGAGATAGCACCAACAGTGGTAGTGCTGGCGATTTGCTTGGGACTGGCAAACGCGCAGCCATGGAAGAGCAGGCAATCGAGCAAATGGGGTGTGTTAATACGTGTAATGTCTCTGATCTGGGTTGTCGGGCGCGGTGTTTGGGCGTTCCCGGAGTGGCAGCACGAAGAGCGCCGCGAAAAGAGGATGTAAGTGGCGGTTTACCACTAAACTGGAGAGTTCGCAAGGATGATGATGGCCATTCGGCGGCGAGAAAGGCGGCAGAGAACTTTGACATAGATAATGTGTTTTCTCTGGCTGCGCGTGTGGAGGTGCTTCCCCGCTTGATCGCCAGCACCGGAGCGGCGGTTCTCTGGCTCATGTAGCGGGGCGGTTGGGGGGAGCTCTGGCCCATGGCTCCCTCGGTGAGGAGTGAGCCCGCCTATCCCCCCAAACTCCCCCCGCTAAAAGTCTCACTTGACACCACCGCTTGCAACCAGAAGCAGAACATTTGCGAGCATGCGTCCGCTTCGATCAGAGCCGCGCACGCGTGCTCGTGTTTCTGTTTGGCCGCTGTCACGGTAGCAAAAGGACACACGACCCGATCAAAATGCGAGACGGCAGCTATATCTCTTTGTCGAGGACCCTCATTCTTCATTTTCTAGCTTTCGTGGTGTTGATTCGATATCTTTTGAACTCTGCAGGGAATCCCGGACCGCTCATGCACCGTTGGCTGGCGCAGACGCTGGCGGCAGTGCTGGTGTGTCGACTCGCGAGTGGCAACAGCAGCAGCAGCAGCGCGGCATCGGCTTTGCAAAGCACAGCAGCAGCATTGCCCAAAAGTCAGACAGCCAATGCACCAACGCAGACAGTGGTGGTGCGCCTGTATCGCGCCGAAACCAACAATATTGAGGAATGCCAGCAAAAGTGCAGCGATAGTTTGTGCCGAGACCAGTGTAGTCGAGCGGGACTGAGCGAAGAGGGCATTGTGCTACGGACACAGCAGTGCGAGGAGAACTGCAAGGAGCAGCCGGAGGAACTGATACACATGTGTATCCAGCGGTGTTCGTACTACTTGATTGACCCAGTAGGCCATGTTGCGGAGATGGAGCCAGTTCATTCGACTGGCAAGGATGGGCTGCTCGTGGACAGCGAGCATGTGAGGACGCGTGTTCGGCTGATTGGGCCCGATGGGCTTCCGTTGCCGACAACATCCGCTGCTCCGCCACAAGCGCCGACGCCTAGCAGCACCAGCGGCAGGGGCAGCAGTAGTAGACACGATGACAGCGACGACGACGACGATGGCGACGACGACAACAACGATGACGACGATGTCCAGGCCTCCACACGCTCTGCCCGGTACCGCGTCGTGCTTGTCAGCGGGACCAAGAGCCGGCGGCGTGCGATAATGGCTGGCCATAGCGCGGCTACGGCTGCGGCTTTGGCTTTGGCGTTGGCGTGCCTTGTGTGAGGCCGCGGTCTGTGGTCTGCAATGGCTTGGCGCTCGCTCCCCTTTCCGTTTGCTGCTTCGTTTTCCTTGTCCCTTTTCCACATCCACTTTCTCGCTTGCATTTGCCTTTGCAGCCCCCGCTCTCTAATCTCTTACGCTTCGCTGTACTCTATTCTAGTCGCATTGCCAGGCCCGGAGAAGAGGGGTGCGCCTGTCTGATCTCCGCAGCATGGCGCATTGGTGTTTGTCGTGGAATTGGCACAAGGTGTACCGGGTGCTCGGGGTGTTTCCAGTGTTCTTCACACTCGGGCTGCTCGGGTGGTCGATTGAGGTATTTTTCGCCACCGTGCTTCCAGCAATTCGTGACCGGGGGCCGGTGCACGCGTGGCTCTGGGGCCCTGTGCTCACCGGGCTGTGGCTGCTGAGCGTGTGGAGCTATGGCGTGTGCGTGATGAGAGACCCCGGCCACACGTTGGTGCGGCGGCCCACGGTGTCGTCGCATGGGGGCACCGACAGGACGCCGTATATCCGGGTGCGGGGGTCGGAGGTATCGCCGTCACCGCGGCGGCGGCGGGCGGATAGCGTCGGCAGCAACTCGTCAGACGATAGCGATTTTGGCGGGCGACTGACGGGGGAGCAGCTGCGGCAGGCGGAGCTGATTCAGTGTATTACGGCGACGGATGGCGGCCAGCCGCGGTACTGCCAAAAGTGCAATGCGGCCAAGCCCGACCGCGCACACCACTGCAGCTCGTGCGGCGTGTGTGTGCTGAGGTTCGACCATCATTGCCCGTGGCTCAACTCGTGTGTTGGACATCATACGCAAAAGCCGTTTCTGCTATTCCTCGGCTATACGTCGGTATACACAACGGCGCTGGGAGGACTGACGCTTTGGTACTATATGTATCGGATGGTGCTGGAGAAAATGGGCGATATCTCGATCGAGTGCCTATTCATGATGTGCCTGACGCTCGCGTTTGCCGCGGCCTTGTGGGGGTTCACGGCGTTCCACTGCTACCTGACACTGAACAACCTCACCACGTTCGAGTCGTACGTCAGCAACAAGTATCGCGTCCCTGGAGCGGCCAAGGGTGTGCAGCCCGGGGATGTAAACCTGTTTGACCTGGGCTGGCGAAGGAACCTTCGTCAGGTGTTTGGCCCCTCGCGGCGGCTGTGGTTCTTCCCAGTGTCCACATCGGCAGGCGATGGCCTTCGCTACCCGATCAACATTGACGCATACAACGAGCTGCAACGCACCGTTGATTAGAGGCTCTCGCTTTCGCCACTCCGAGAATCCGCTCTGCGCCTGCGGGGCGTGTTGTACATCAGCACCAGTTGCCATATTGTTTTCGTTTCTCTCTCCTGTCTTCCCGCGCGCTCTCTCTATCTTTATTCAGCTCTCCTCAATCATGGCCAGCTTCTCCGAGTTGACCCAGCTAAGATACGAGTCCCAGAAGAGATCAAAACAGCTGCCAAACGGCACGCGGTAGATAAGCGGGATAAACGCAAAGTTGACGCCCTGGACGATGGGCACGATGGTCAGGCCGGTGAGGTATGTTGGAAGTAGCAGGTTGGCTATCCGATACTTGGCATCGTCCAGGCCGCCGCCCTCCATCAGCGCCATGGACGAAAAGAACGTGGCATACATCACCGGCTCGTACATGAGCAAGTCACAAGCCAGGCGCTTGGCCACCTGAACAGCCGCGATTCTTCGCTCCGATCTTCGCTTTGCTCTGGTTGGCGCAGCGGCGGTCTTTTTCCGCCGGTGTGGCGACCTGCTGAACCACATGGTCTGCGACCGAATGGGGAACCTCTTGTCCAGGAACCGGTGCCACCGCACGCCCACTGGCGAAATACAAGTGGCAAATAGCATGAACCGCGCTGTTCGCCACGGATCATATCCTTTCGTGCTGCCTGCTTCCCGGTTGGCGTCCTGGCTGCTCCCCACATGTCGTCCGACCGTTTGCGCAATTAGGTCGCCACACGCCGAAAGGCAGGCCTCAGTTGCGGCTATCGTAGCAAACGGCCGTGCCTCGGCCTGCCGTGTCCAAAACCTGAAAAACGCCGCCATTTGGCGGTCTCTGGTCTGGGCGAGATGAGGGGAGGGGGCGAGAGATGCAAATGCGGAGCACAGGAGCAGCAGGAGGGGACAAGGGCTGCGCGACGCCCATGGCCCCAGGCAGCATCGGCTTCATGGTCGGCCCCCCGCCCCGGCGGCTTACGCCGATCTCGCTTCTGCTTGCGCGGCGGCACTCCAGCGCGGTGATCCGTAATCGCGGGCGTTCCCGATCACGGCGGAGGGCGGCATCTCCCCCAGGGCAAGCTTGTGCTTATCGCGGGACAGGCCTTTCTCATCGCTGTGCTTCTCTTGGTTTCTGGGCATCGCCTCCCAATCAAGCGCCTCTCCATTTTCGCGACCTAACTTTCGGGATGCTTTCAGCAGTCACACGGACAGGCGTCCTCGGCCCAGCGCGCGTGCCGCTGGCGCGGGCGCTTGCCGCACGCAACGTCCGGTAAGTGCAGCTCCCCGCCTTGCGGGGGGAGGGAGGCGTGCAGAGCGACGTGCGGAGCCCGGCAACTGATCTGGACGGTCCTGGCGCACACGTCGAGCGGCGGTGCTGTATTGGTGTAGTGCGTTTGTGGCCACTGCGGCGCGCAAGGAGGACGAGCCGCAGTCGGTGGTGGCGGAGCGCGCGCTGAAGAACCGGCCGGTGTCGCCGCACCTGGGCATCTACAAGCCGCAGATGTCGTGGGTGCTGTCGGGGATACACCGCAACGCAGGGGTGGCAGTGGCGGGGGCGGCGTATCTGTACACGGCGGCGTTTGGGCTGGCGCCGTTGCTTGGGATGGACCTGTCGTCGGTGGCGGTGGCCAGCACGCTGGCGGCGGCGCCGACCCCGCTGCTGCTCGCAGTCAAGGCGCTGGTGTCCGGCTGCCTGAGCTTCCACTGCATCAACGGCATCCGCCATCTCGTGTGGGACTCGGGCAGGGCCGTCAGCAACCAGGGCGTGTTTACCACCGGCTATGTCGTCATCGCCGCGACGACGCTGGCCACGGGCTACCTGACCTTTGCTTAGGTTGGC